CCATCCAGCCCCCTGGCCTGGGCACTGGGCGCCATCCAGCCCCCTGGCCTGGGCACTGGGCACCTCAGGAGCAGGGTCCCTGGGCATTTGGTGGGGCTGCACAGAGCACAGCTTCTGGGGGGCACAAGCTCTGCCCCAGCTGTACTTACTTGGATGCCATTCGCGCAGTGCCCGGCCCTTAGGTGCACCATCAGTGCTTCCAGTGTGTCCCTGAACAGTGCCGTCATCACAGCTGTACTAGGCCTTTTCGTTGCTCCAAAAGAAACACTCCCCATTTTCCCCATCGCCCTGCCCCTTGAATGTGCTCTGTCCTTATGGATCTGCCTACTCAGATCTCCCACTGTGCATGGGGCCTGTGTCTGGCTGTCACTCGCGTCCTGTGTTTGGAGTTTTGAGGCCAGGCAGTGCCCCTGCTGTCCTGTTCCCTGCCCCAGTGAGTGCCTGGACACCCCTGTGTGTAGCCAAGAGAGTTGATAACACCTCTGCCCGCCTCTTCCTCCACAGACCCCGCTCCTCGATGACCCCGTCTTCATCCACCCCAGCTCCGTCCTTTTCAAAGAGCTCCCGGAGTTTGTGGTTTACCAGGAAATTGTGGAGACCACCAAGATGTACATGAAAGGTAGGTAGCAGCATGCGGCTGGGTGGGGGTGTCGCTGCTCGGTGCCTGGGGATAGCCTGAGGCCCCAGGTGGCACGCACTCTGACCCCAGGCCTTCTCCCCTGGCCCCAGGCCTCTCGACCGTGGAGATCCAATGGATCCCCGTGCTGCTGCCTTCTTACTGCCAGTTCGAGAAGCCCCTGGAGGAGCCCTGCCCAACTTACTGCCCCGAGAAGGGCCGGGTGCTGTGCCACCGGCCCAGCGTGTTCTGTGAGTTGGGTTCCTGCGAATGCGTACTCTGCTTGGGCATGTGCGTGTGAGGGAGTGTGCAGGTGTATGCCTGTGTGTGCATGCCTGCGGCAGCCCTGCCCCTTCAGGTAGGGCTTGGGGGCTCCACCCCTGCCCACTCACGAGCTCTTGCCCTCAGACCGCGTCGGCTGGCCCCTCCCTGCAGTCCAGGTGGATTTTCCAGAGGGCATTGATCGCTACAAGCACTTTGCCCGGTTCCTGCTGGAAGGACAGGTGGGTGGCAACCAGCGGCTCCCTTTGGCCCCCGCCTTGGACATGTGGGCGGAAGGGAACCTGAGACCCCCACTCTGTCCCTCAGGTCTTCCACAGACTGGCTGCCTTCCAAGGCTGCCTGCTGTCCAGGCCCAGCACCATGCTGAAGACATGGGCAAGGTACATGCAGGCAGGTGGCAAGGGTGGTGCTGGTCTTCTGGGGTCATTGATGGAATGACCAGCCTATGGCTGCAGACAACAAAAAGCTATCCTCTGACTGACCCAGAAGCCAGCGTTTCAAGGTCAAGGTTTGCGCAGGGCCAGCTCCTGCTGAAGTCTGGGGGAGGTGCCGGGTGGTCTGCACCTCAGGCCTGCTCAATGCAGGAGGCTTCTCCAGCAAGCACAGGCCTGCCCCAGGACCTGACCCAGCCCCACTTTTGAGGTTGGCGCCCTAGCTGGTGCAGGGGCCTGAAGGTGCCAGCAGGCCAGTGCCCTAATACTGCCCCCATCCCATCCCCGTGGACAGTCACATCTGCTCTGCATGGGATCGGGCACAACTCTGGGCCCCATTTGGCTCAGAGAACTGCCAGCCGATATAGCTAGTGTGGTTAGTGGGTGGTGACGGGACCCTGCTGGGAGCAAAATGGGACATTGGGGATGTAGTGTTAGGTGGGGCTGGTGAGGGGCAGCCAGAGGAAGTTTCCAGAAGTAGCAAGCAGCATGTGCCAAAAGTCCCTAGATGGGCAGGTGCCCAGGGAGCTGAGGGAGGACAGGCAGAGGCAGGAAGACCGTGCCGATGGAGGGTTTTTTTTTTTTGCCCCAGGCCTGCAGTGGCCAGTGCTGGACAACAGGAGGCCCCAAGACCTTTGTCTCCTGCAGGCTACAGCCCCGGACAGAGAGTCTCCTGAGAGCCCTGGTGGCTGAGAAAGCCGACAGCCGAGACACCATGCTGGCTGCCTGGAAGAAGAACCCCAAATGTGAGTTGACCAAGGCAGCTTCCATGGCCAGGGGAGGGGGTAGGACTGATAGAGGCCCCCGGGCCGCCTGGGGCTGCAGAAGGGTGTGCCCTGGAGCTGCAGGCAGCCAGGCCAGTTAGTCCCCGCCCCCTCCACAGACCTGCTGGCTGAGTACTGTGAGTGGCTTCCCCAGGCCATGCACGATGAAGTTGGGAAGGCCTGGCCCCCCACCTCTGACCGCTGACCCCTGGCCAACTGGCTGATGCTGCAAGTGGATCCCCAGGCTGGGCACACCAACATCCAGAGAGCCTGGCCCCACTGCCGACCAGGCTGACTGCAGGGCGGAGCTGCTTCCAGGAGGTGGCCCAGCCTGAGACACACCTCACCTCAGCCCTGCTCAGCGCAGCTGCCTGCCCCCTGGCAGTGGCTTTCAATGTGACTATTATGTGCTGGATGGTGGGTACCGTGCTGGGTCCATCTCCAGCAGATCGTGTGGACGTTTGTCCCTATGGAGCAGCATAGCCAGAGGCTCAGTGACCCTGGGTCTGCGTCTACTTCACCTTTCCAGGGACCAAGCCCTGGTGCCACCTCAGGGGAGGGTGGCCAGGAGTGGGGTGACCCAACAGTCAGCTTCTGGCTGCTTCACTCCTCACATCATGCCCTGGAGGGCGGGCTCTGCCAGGTACACCCGCATGACCTTCCTCCTGACCCTGAGCTGCGCCCTGGGGACCTGACCCTTCCCTGCCTCTTTCCTGGTTGTGAAAGAGGAAGATAGAGGACATGGTGGTCCCCAAGTGAGCAGAAACAAGAAGAATGCAGGCCCCTCAACATCCCCCATCACAGCTCCTGCTGCAGTCAGGGTCCCTCTGGCAGGGGCGGGGTGATAGATTGCCCTCCAACCAGGTCCTCTTGTCCACCAGACAAGATGCGCGGGGTGTGCGGGGCTGGGCCGTAGGGACCCCTCCGTGCAGGTCCCTGCTCTTGGGAGCCCTTTCTAGGTGTCCTGCTGCCAGGCTGCTTCAGAACTCAGTGGCTGCCCCTTCTCCACCTCGCCCTGGAGGTGCCAGGCCCTTCTTGCCCCTTACCCTCCCTGGACCTTGGCTCTTCTGCCTTCACGGGCCTGCAGACCCACAGCCCTGGAGGAGGGGTTGGGTAATTCTGCTCAGAAATCCTGACTCTGGCTTCTCCGGGAACAGGCTGGTCTCACAGGTGCCGAGCTGCTCTGTTGAGGGGGAGCAGCGCTCAGGTACCACAGCCCACCTCACTGCCCACCTTCATCCACACAGCGGGGGGAGAAACTGATTAGGCAGAGTTTGACTTTCAGATTTTTTGGTTTTGAGATAGAGCTGACATAAATTTCAAAGTTGTACTTTGAGGTATACAGTCAGTGGGGGTGGAGGGGGGCTGTGAGAGAGAGAGATGAAGGTAATTTATTGCCGATTCCAGAGCATTTTCAGTACTGGTAAGAGACCTGGTGCCGAGCAGTCAGCCCCAGCCCACAGCCCCAACCAGGCGCCGAGCTCCCCGGGTCTGTAGCTCTGGTCTGTAGAAGCCGCGCAGGGTTGGGTCCTGTGTCTCCACTCTGCGTGGTCCTTTCAGGGTCAGTTGCTGGAGGCGCCTGTGAACACTGTCCCTCCTCTGGCTGAATCATTGTTGGGCCAAGCAGGTCTTGTTCACCCACTCGCCTGCTGCTGGGCACGGTCATTTCTGCGTTTCACCTATGGTGAATACAGCCTTTATTGCCCATTTTAAATTGGGTTGCTCATCCCACAGAGTCATAAGGGTATTTTCACCTGTTTGAGATGCTTTTGCACTTTCTGACAGTGCCTTAGAAATAAAAGGATTTCATTTGAGCAGAAGTCCAGTTTTTTGTGTTTTCTCCTTGTTTGCTTGTGGTTTTGGTATCTACCTAAAACCATGGGCTCTCCCCTGGTGTTTCCTTGTAAGAGTTTTTATCACTGTAAACAAAGTTTTATTTTTATTACTCTTTGTTCATCTTGGGTTTTGCATCCGGTGTGAGGCTGGTGGACCATGACATTGCAGGTGGCTATCTGGTTATCCCAACGCCTTTTGCTGGAGAAAGACTTTCCCCACACACATTCCACTGAGTGGTGTGTGTTTAGCTTTCGTCAAAAGCTAAACAGATTGACAGGTATGTTTCTGCACTGATTGGACACTTCTTGCACATACTACAAAATTCAAAAGGCCCAGGAGGTTCCTGAAGGGAAAGGGAGCCCCTTCCCAGGCGCACACACACGGGGCTCTAGCTCCCTGTTCTGTCAGCCAGACCCCCAGGGAACACCCTGGGCACCCTGTCCACACAGAGCCACTGCCCTGTGATTCCCACTGACTGCACTACTACCGACTGTTCCCTACTAGGTAGCTTGGGTACAGGCCAGAAGTGCAGGGGTGAGAGGATTCACCAGAGACAGAGTGGGGAGCAGAATGGACAGATTGAAACACGCTGTGCAACTCCTGAGGGGTGCAGCGGGCAAAACAGGAGAGATCTGCTGCACCATGTACCTCCCTGGCCAGGATTTGAACTCATGCAGCAGTGGCTGTGTCTGGCTTCATTAGCTATGTGAACAAAACTATTGAAGACCCTCATTTGTGTCATTTCACACCTGTGTGTACACCTGTGCCCCACATACCCAGAGGTGGAGTTGCTGGGTCAAGAGACCGGCTGTGTCTTCATTTTGAAGGAGAGGTGGCCAGGGATGGGTGGACCAGGAGACAGGACCTACCTTGGCTCTTCTCAACACCAGGTACACAGACGTTGCCGCCTGCTTGAATCCCTGTGTGGGCTTCCCATCGATCGAGAGCTGAAGAGCCAACTCTGACATGGCTTCCAAGGGTGTGCAGGCACAGACCTTGCTCTGCGTTACCACGCCACATGCCCTCATCACCCTGGGTCCCTGCCTCTCCCAGATGCACCCTGTCAGCAGCACTGGTGCTGTTCCCTCCATGGCAAACCTGTGTGGTGGTTTGCTTTCAGAGTGAAAGCACGGGCAGCCCTACCCTGGGGCTAGCCAGCCACCCGCCCTGGACCCCAGCAACAGCCAGTGCCATGTTGTTTGCCATCTGTGCCCGCCATGTAAGAGCACTGACATTCAGAAAATTGGTGTGAATGCTGGAAAGGCTCAAGTAAACCTCTAAAGCAAGCTAGAAACCACAGAGGAAGGAGAAGACCTTTGATCCATAATGTTCTACCTATGTGGAAAGTGATCTCAGTGACTCGCATTAAGGAAACAGCAACAAGAGGAGCTATTGTGGCTCCAGGAGGAAAGAGTGCCAAGGCTGCGTGGTGGGAAGCCCTGTCAGCGACTAGGGGACACCCAGCCTCTCGGCTTGCTGATGACACACCTCGTGCCCCACCAACACCTGTGGCTGGGGAGAGCTCTGGGTGGGTATGTCTTCAAGTCTGTTGGTGAAATTGGGCGGGGGGTCGGGGGACAGCCCTCGGGAAGATATCAGGCTGTACTGAAGGATTTAACGTTCCATGTGGGTTCATGAAGATGGACAAAGAAAGGGGGGAAGAGCAGGGAATCTGCAGCTTGCTGAAGGCCCAGAGAGGACCCCCCCCCCCCCCCCGCACGGGAATGTGGGAAGGGTGAGCTGTTCCCTTCCACTCAGGTGATGTGTAGTTTTTGAAGTGAGCCCCAGGGCAAGTTAAGGTTCAGCTGGCAGCTCCAGGAACAACCCAAATTAACAGCTTCACAGGGATCTCTTGTTTTTCAAATTGGGATTTAAATCTCTGTGTTGTGCTGTTAGCCCCTTAGTCAAATGAAGGGCTCAAGCCCACGGCGCCAGGTCACCAGTGTGACCAGTGTGGGCGATTTGATGAGTGTCCATTCGGACAGGCTTCTAGAAGGGGGGAGGGCCCAGGAGCCTGCTTTTTCCCACTAGTGCCCAAATCCCATATACCCCAAATGGGGAGGTCTCCTGTACTCTCCACATCCACATTCTAGAGGCTCCGCCTCTAGGACCTGCTCAGAATCCCACCTCCCAGCCTGCCTCTCCTGGTTTGCACGGGTCGGGCGGGCAGGCTCCTGGTACATTCTCCGGGTGGCAGCCAGGGGGAGCCATTTGCAACCTAAGTCTGACCTTGGCTTTTGCTGGCACCCATCAGATCTTCCAGTATCCTAGAGTATTCAAGCCTCCTAAGGTGTTTCCTGAATTTCGTGCACAAGGCTTGCTTTCTAGCCTGCAATACGGAAGTGTCCCCTCTCACCTGCACCCTCCAACCGCAGAGCCTTTGCGCCTGCGCTCTCCATCTCTTGCTTCATAACATATCTCCTTAATGCTTCGCTCCTGGACTGCAATATCCAACCCAGGAATGCTGAAACCTTGCGGGTCTTCCCCGAGGTGCCAGGGGACGTGGCGTGGTGTCTGTGCACACAGTAGGCCCTCAATGCGTGCACATCACCTTACACCAGGTGCACAACAGTCACCAAATGACCATTTGCCTCCAAATCTTGTTTTTCTAACTCGAATGACACGAATAACAACGACTGTTTAAAAAACCAGCTTCCCGGCTCACCGCCAGCCCACTAAGTCTGGATCCCCACGGAGCGAGACCGGCGTCCGTGAGCCGACAGAGGACACTCACTGGCCGGCCCCAGGGACCTCCTTTTTCAGCCGGTTGATGGGGGTAATCTAGGTCGCTTTCCTTATTTACCAAATCACCGTATTACCAAATTAGAGAAAAATGGCCAAAAACTGGAGATGCCGGGGATTGAACCCGGGGCCTCATACATGCAAAGCATGCGCTCTACCACTGAGCTACATCCCCTGACCGAGGGTTTGCTTCCCTGAGAGTCTGCATAGAGGCGGTAGCCCTGCTCCTACAGGTCTCCTTTCTGGATCGCCCGCGTCGCCACCCATCCTAAGGTTCTTCACACCAGGGTAAGGCTTGGGCGGCACACCGCAGCCTGGGTGGGGCACACAAGGCGGAGCCTGCCGCTGAGACGTCTATTTGGACAGGCAGGCGGAAACATGGGTATGGCTACTCCTCGTTAGTATAGTGGTGAGTATCCCCGCCTGTCACGCGGGAGACCGGGGTTCGATTCCCCGACGGGGAGGCTGCGTTTACATTTTGAACGTTAAGGAAGCCTTTCAACCTTTGTTCCCTGAGACCTACCATCCCCAATGGGTACCTGTATGTGAGGTGTCGCTTACAAAATTCGGCTAGACATCATGGAGGGTGCTCAGCAGTGTGCCTGAAGTTTCCTCTTACGCAAAAATAGTGAAAAAAAAATTCAAAAGGATACCTGCACCCCTGTGTTCATTCGCACTACTTATAATAGGTAAGGTATGGAAATAACCCAAATAGATGACTGGATCAAGAAGATGTGATCTATATACACGATGGAATACTATTCAGCAATCAGAAACGATAAAACTCATGTCATTTGCAGCGAGATGGATGGAGCTGGAAGACATTATGCTCAGTGAAATAAGGGGGGCTGAAATGAGGGGGGAATAATCGGATGGTTTCAATTATAGGGGAATGTAGGGGGACCAAATAAGAGATCAGGAAAAAAATAAATAGATAAACAAAAAATTTTAAACTATTTTACACCGTGTAACTATGCAAAGTATCCTTAATAGCCTGTATTCCTCTCCATCACGAATTAAAACAATATAAAGCATGGACAGAAATCTCACCCGGCTTTGGCTACTCGCTTTTGGCCTGTGAGTCCCTGTGCACACAACACCTGAAATGACTGACTTGGTATACCTTTCCTTATAATGTAATGGCAATGGCTGCTGTTGGAAAGAGTGGCATCCACAAGATATGTCCTCCCGGGACCTCAGAATGTTATCTTACTTGAAATAAGGGTCTTTGCAGATGAAAATAAGTTAAGGGTCCACAGTGAGATCATCCTGGGTGGTCCTAACCCCAGTGGCACATGAATAATAGGTGACAGAAGAAAAGACACACCACGTGGGAAGGCTGGTGTATTCCTAAGCGAGGAGACACAGGAATAGGTGGTGGCCACCAGAAGCTGGAAGAAGCATGGATAGTTTCTCCCCCTCAGCCTCCAGGGGCAGCAAACCCTGCTGACACCATGATTTTGGGAATTGTGATCTCCACTACAATGAGAGAATAAGCATGCTGTGTTAAACCACCCGTTGTTGGCAATTTGTTTCAGCAGCTCTGAAGGTTCATAGGATAATCAAGCCCTCAAGAAACTCATGTATTCAGCCACTACGTACCCAGAGACACGAGTCTACTAGGTTTGAACTGACAAGTGAAAAAAAACTGAGGACACATTTATGAACTGAATGATTTGAAAAAATTAGAGGAAAACAAAGCAAGTAAATAAGCAGATTTTAAAGTATTAACAAAGATCATGCAACTCCAGCTATGACCCATTTACCTTTTCAATTTTTCATGATATAAATTACATTTCCACAGCATTTGCTTTGGGATCACTGGAGTCAAGTCCAAATGGCCCTCAAAAACTTGTTCTATGTCAAAAGTGAGTGTGCTGCATTGCTTTTGCAGCTAGATCTAGCCAGACCTGATATCCATACAAGAAATGAACAATAGGGCTGTATTCTAGAAGGAGTTTCTTCAGACAGAAAGGAAGTCAAGGGCATCAGAAGGGAGACAAACTCTCCTACTTCTCCCAGGCCGTCAAAATCAGAAAACTTCTCCTTATCCAGAAAAACCAGCACATTGTCAGGGTGGGTATGTATATCATAGCCTCTGCTTAGTTTGCTGGGGCTGCTATAACAAAATACTATGGCTTAATCAACAGAAATTAACTTTTGTGGCTTGTTTCCCAAGTGCTTTTTTTGGCTTGCAGATGCTGCGCCTTTTCTTTTGTATCTCATCTGGTTGT